GCAGGGCTGTTCTTTTGTTTGTACTTGCACCGGATAATGATTAAAGTAGGTAGAAAAGTAGAAGAAACCTTCAAAAAGTTGAATGGATGGTAATTCTGAACCATTGGCCCTAGTTATGTAGAATAAATATTTAATTTCGATTAAATATTTTTATAATTGTTTAATTTATAATTAAATATTTTATTTTATATGAATAAAAATTAAATTTTATTAAAAATTTATAATTAAATATATATTTAGATAAAAATTTGTGCGTGTTGCACAAATATCTTTAATTCTAATAAAAGTAATAATTAAATGAAAAAAATATCATGTCATTTTTTAGTGGTTAAGTATTATTTTAAATAAAAAATTAAAACTATCCAAAAAATGAGATTTATTTTTTAAAAAATCGTTTCATTATTTTTTTACTATTTTAAATATTGTTTAAAATTAAAAAATAAAAATACAAAGTTTTGGTATTTTTTGCATAATTATTTAATATTAATTTATACAAAAAAAATCACTAATTCAAATTATAATATCCATAAAATTCAAAACCCCACAACTGAACACCACTTATTTTTTGGATGATTGTAATAAACCTCCAAATACCACTTGCAGTACATCCAAACATTCAAATCCTAGATCTTAACTAATAAAGTCGGATAATTTACTCACCACCACATCAAGAAATTCTCTAATCTATCAATCCCCGCCTTAGCCAACTTCCATCTCTAACTTTTCATTAATAAAATTACGAAAATGGATTCATTGATTAGGTGTTTGTTAATTTGGATTTTTTCAAAAATTTCAAATTTGGCAAAGATTAAGCATGAACAAGCTTCTAGCAGCTCAACAAGGTAAGGTTTAAAATTTATAATTTTTTTATATTGTGAATAAAGAAATTATAGCTAAAGAGAGAAGGTAAATATTGAGTTCGATAGAGACAAAAATTTGAATGATATACAAAGATAACTCCGCTATAAAAACAGAATGATGGGAGGTTCCATAGAAAAATAAGAGTTGAGGGAGAAAAATATGTATTAGAGCAAAAAGAAAAAAATTTGAGAATAAAGAAGAAAGAAAAGTTGTTGTGTTTTGGGTAGGAGATATGCATAGATTTTCATTCAATTTCTTTTTTTTTTTTTTAAGTTTTTAGTATAAATCAATGTCAATATATAATTAAATGACACGTAAGAGATATGTATAAATTTTTATTTAAATATAATTTTTATTATAAATTTTTGATAACGTTTAATTTTTATTTATATAAAATAAAATATTTAATCATGAATTGAACGATCATATAAACATTTTATCATAAATTAAACATTTAACCTTTTTTTTTTTTTGAATTTAGCCAAAACTTTTTTTGGTTTTCATTTAATACATTTTATTTAAATTGATTTAAATAGATTTATCTAAATCGAATTTAATAAATTCATAAAATTATTTTTTTATAATTTTTTAATAAATTTAAACTCAAATAATAAAAATAAAAACATTTTATTTATCACTTGAATTAACTATTTTTTGATTAAACGATTGACCCTAGATTTTTTTAGAGTTTTTGTTTTTTTCTCTTCTGTCATTGTTAAGGTTTGTGGCTTTCTGCTGCCAACTTCATCGTCAACTTTTTTTTTAGTTAATTGCTTACATATTGTAGCAATTGTCATTTAAAAAAAAAAGTAGGTACCAAATACATTTTATCCAGTAAAGTAGTGATAATAATATTTTAAATATTTAAGTACATGTATTTTAATGGTTTCAACGGCCTAGATATAAGGGGGTTGCCTGCTTCCTAATCTATGTTAGTTTATAATAATGTCCTTAAAATTTTAAACCAAGTTTTTATTCAGTCTAAACTTCATTTTGTTTTTAACCATGTATTTTTTTTCTCTTAACAACTATGCACCATACAGCTAATGCACCTAGTTATATTTAATTAGGTGCTTACTCTTTAATTTTGATAAAAATTATAATCGATTTTAAAGTATTCTTATAACTATCACCTTAACTGATGTTTATAGATTTTTTTTAAACATTTTTATTTTTTTATAAAAAATATCATAGTTTGAAGATAAAAAGAAAATTGCAAATACTAAAATTTTAATTTTAAATTTATTAAATGATATCTTTTAAAACAATTAAAATAAGCATAAATTCAATATTTTTCTTTGTTATTCCCACATTTTTAATAAAAATATATTTTATTTATTTTTAATTTACATACCCAGATCCATCATTAGTCTCAAAGTTTAAATATTAGTAAATTGTTTTATATTAATCTTTTAATATATTAAAAAATATATTAATTTAATTAAATCTAAAAACAAACTTATGATTATTTAATAAAATATAAAATAATGACCATCAAGTATCCTTAAATTAGTTGATATATCATTAAAATTGACAATTCAAAAATTATAAATTCAAAAAAATTTAAATACCTAACGTTCTCTTCAATTAGATATAAAGTAGTTCTCTTCAATTAGATATAAAGTAGAATAGAGAGATTTAAAAGTTTTAAAATATATATATGTAAAACAATGACTCTGCCATATGGGCTTGTTATTAGTCTAGGCTTGGTCCAAACCTGGGGCAGTCTCCCTGGACCAAGGATAGTTCATGGCAAACACAAGTATTTCCAATTAACTACTTCTAGGGTTCATATGACAGTCATAAAATGATATCATGCGTGAAAGTTTCTATCATCTCGCTGCCAGACAGATGATTGAGATTCTTTCTCTTCCAATTTTCAGTTCATGTTCCTGGCTTGATTATCGTAAAAACATTAATTGGGTAATTGAAATAAGATACTCTATCATTTAACATACAATAATTTCATTGAAACCAATTGAGTTTGTTTATAAACAACTTACACGATACAATTAACTAATACATGGCCAAAGTTTCCAATGATAATCACCCAATTTGCCAACTGCATTCATATGAAGCATTAATGGCGTTTTCATCATATTTTACCTGCAGGTCGAGAAAAAAACCATAGAGTAAAGGCACAGAGAACTAATACGACTGGGATAAGGTGAATGGCTTTCTCTTCCATTGAGTTGTGATGATGGCAAGCAATTTCCTTTTTGTAGTTCCTGTGATGGGATCATCATACTCTGGCAAGTGGTCATTTGATGCTTGCAGCTTTGAGAAGTGGAGATGATGCCCTGGCAGCCTGCGAAAAGTTCAAAAAGAAGTCGTCGGAGGTCAGCGGAGCATTGGCTGACGACGATGATGATCTCTGCATTATTCACAGCCCTATGATTTGTCGACAAATTACTAAATTTTTAGTTTCAGTTTGCTAATCTCAATTATCAAAAAAAAAAAAAAAAACAGTGAAGCAGAGTAATAAGGTTGAATTCAAGAACAAAAGATCTTATATATAGTAAGTGGTGGATTGTCCAAAGCTTTGATTTCGTGAAAGAAACAGAAATGGCGTTGCTCGCTTAAAGAAGGGTTAAAGAAAAAGCGAAGCGCTGATTCTGAACTTCCGGAGTTTGATAATATACAAATGTAGTGAGCCCCCCCTTTTTTTTTTAACGATTCCAGGATTCTGCTTAGCTTAGAAGCAGCTTGGAATGTACTTATTGGCTCAGTACATATGCAAGTGACAGAAACGTTTAATGCAAGATGTTAGTTCATGGCTTTCTTTGAAAACAGTCTTTGCTTGGAGATTACGCAGATGGTATATAGAATGAATCTCCAAACCTTAATTAATTGAATATTCAAACATAAATCAGATAGGATTTGCTCGGTAAGCAAGCTCTCTTTGGTAATCAATGTGCTCAGCATCAGGTAACTTTACCATTGTACAAATTATCAGGGCTAAAATTTCATCATTAAATCCAAAACTTCGCTTAGAGGATTCATGTAACCACGGCAATCCCAAACACTATATCTCATATACCATTCTTAGACTACAGAGATGAGAAATTGAGAATTTAAGGGAAAATAAATCATCTTTTTGTACCTCAAGCATCCATAAAAAGAAAAAAACTGAATGACCTTTTCAACACTGTATGAACATCTCTTCCGCCTAAAAACATTGTAGACAAGCATCCTAAAAAAGAAGCTTTAAGATTACAACCGAGAAAGTGTCACGAACCTAAGAGGGAGTCATGAATCCCACATCAAACATAATAAAAGATCACTGGGATATAAAAGGTTCACATCATCTCTGTCTTGTGAGACGCTTTTTGTAAGACAAAACCCTGAGATCAGGGGGACCAGAGCGAACAATACCTCACAAGGGTGTGAATCGTGGCAAGAAGGCTGATCCGGAATGTCGGAAAAGTGAATGCCCGGATCCCGGAGCCGCACGGGTGCGGAGCTTAAGTCTCGACCCGTGACAAGTGGTATCAGAGCTAGCCCTAAACCGTTCGATCCACGTCAAGCACCTCGAAAAAGATAGGCAAGGTGGCTAGCCTCCGTGACGAAGACGTCACGAGGTTGGATGCGAGAGAATGTTACGGACCTAAGAGGGAGTCCTGAATCTCACATCGAACATACTAGGAAGGTCACTAGGGTATAAAAAGGTTCACACCATCTCCGCCTTGTGAGGCGCCTTTTGTAGGACAAAACCGTGAGGCCAAGGAAGCCAAAACGGACAATACCTCACAAGGGTGTGAACCGTGACAGAAGGCTGATCTAGGACGCCGGAAGGATAAATGCCCGGATCCCGGAGCCACACGGATTCGGAGCTTAAGTCTCGACCCGTGACAAAAAGACTAACTTTGAGAGTGGTGACTTACACTAAAAAGGCTTAAAAATGCAACAGGGCCACTCAATGAAATAATCGAGCAGCAAAAAGATATATCAAAGTGCCAATGATATTTATAGGTGGGAATTCTGAGAATCATATAGTCAGCAGTACCAAACATACAAAAAGTCATGCCCTTGCATGCAAACATGAAAAAAAATGACCAAAAAAAAAATCATTGTTAGAGAGGTGTGTTACAATGAAATTAGGGGAAAACAGTAAATGAGGGGAAATGTACAAAATTATATCAATATTCATATAGACAAAGAAATCAAATTACAGATTTGAGCAGGAAAAAAATGAGACAAACAAGCATTAGTTTTGCGTGAGAACAACCAAGATGGGAAACTTCTAGAATAAACTCCAATGCTCAGGATATTCACAGGATAAACCATAAAACAGCAGTGGAATGTTCGTTGTAGAGCTATGAGCAACTAACCTCATTATATTTTTTTCTTTTACATTTTCATTTTTACTTCTAGTGAAGCAACCAGACAGATTTTGGTGACAAAATATCCACTTGTAGTTCATGGTTTCAAAAAACCATCAAGAGAATCCAAGTCCTTCTTAAAGTTTGCCTCAATAAGTTTACAAGTTCACTACATTTAGTAGCTTTCTAATAACCAGTGCATCTAGAACAAACAGAAGGCAATCCATTCACTACAAAAGTTCTTTCATGCATAGGAGCATGTTGTTATTATAAGAAAGGAAGAACCAAACAGGGATAACTGGCAAGAGCAAAAGCCCACACAACTCATGTTTATAATTGGAAAAGTAAAAGGAATGTGATGACAGCCTGATAAGGGTAATAACCAAGTTTGTAATTATAGAATCATCAAGTAGTTGGACACCTTAGATAGCATTGAAATCCAGAAAATTGGCAATTTGTTGCTGTATTCACTCTATGTAGAACTTCTTATTAATTGGTGGAAGCATTTTGCCAGAAGGTTGGCCGATATTGACATCAAACTCAACTTCCATTAATCTATGGTTTTCCTTAGAACGGTTCATGGAGAAAGAAACATTAAGATTGCTACCTTCATCAACATGAACAGGAGGATGCAAGAGAAAAACCTGTCCAATAACAAAAGTGATAAAAATATCAGGAAACTGAAGAAGCAAAGACGCATGAATGCTCAAAAAACTAAAATTCCAAAAACATCTCAATATGCAACATAGTCAGACCAAAGCCTCCTATCGAAACAAGCACTAACTCCTAATACATGGATAAATATCAATTCATCTGTCATTAAGCAAAACTAGCATGAAATTCGGACAGAAAGGCAAGTAACAAATTGCTTGATCAGGCTTTCTAGAACTGAAATTCCATTGCACTATTTTAAAATTATTCTTAAATGTTTTAGCCACTGCTTACTGATAGCCGAAATATGTGGGTGGGTTCCAGTAATTCATACTTGTTGTCCCCAATGGGTGCCATTAATTGAACTCGGAGCAGTTGTTAACTCAATTTCTTGCAGAGCTGGATCCTCCACTCTTCCCTGTAGTACAAAATAAGAACAAGAGTTATCTACTAGACATTGTGCCTCTTCATCCTATTGGTCCAGAATAATAAGGAATGCTGATGCTAAACCTACTCGGAAATGGACATCAAACCATCCTGCAAATCCGCAGAGACAAGTGCGCTCCACGTTGATGGCTGATGAAAAAGTTGATCTTACTTGAAGGATGTCATTTACAGTAGCAGTTCTACAATCAATCTCCTTTATAACAGCAGCTGTCCCAATAACTTGATGTGGATGAAGGTTGCTCCACAATGATGTCTAAACAAATTAGTAGAATTTTTATTTAAAAAAAAATGAATAGGAAAAAGAACCAAACCAAACATTATTCAAAGGACAAATTGGGGGATAAATTGAGAAACGAGTGAACAACCTTCTCAGTTCTTTGAGATAATAGCGACAACAATAGCCTTGAGTAGCTAGTAAAAGGAATTAATTGCATAGAACATCTAATAAATGGATCTGCCAGACAAACCCTCACCTAAAGACATCAAAACAGTGCTACAACACCTAAGAGTGGAAAGGTCTTTCTTTTTCTGCTTTTTCTCTCTTCTTCTCCTTGTTATTTTTTAAGAAAAAAGGGAATAGTTTACCAAGAATCAACTGCATTTATTTTTAAGCAGCAGAAAAAAAGTAAAATATTGTCTAGCCAACAAACTGAAAAGTAACAATAATCAAGGGCAGCAAGGCATAACAAAATTTTAAAAGTCACCTGCAGATAATATTTTTCCTGCTCTTCTGAGAAAGGTCTTGTCAAAACACTAATATCAACACCATAGTAATTCTTAGTATCTTCCAAAAATCCATACCAATCATCCATTGTTCCTTCATAATCATTTTTCTGTTGATCCACCAATCCAGATCGGATAGGTGCCACCCACATGCGTGCATGGCTAGGATACCTGAGAAATTAAAATTTTTTGTCAGAATTTGAGTTTGCAAAATATGTAAAGAATGCTCAAGATATTAAGAACTATTACAAGTGGCTGCTCAAAAAAAATATTGATATTATATGACAGAGAAAACAGTAAAGTACATGTATCTCAGCAGATATGCATAGGTCCTACTAGAGTCAACTTAAATTAAATCACATCTATATCTTATTTATTCTTTTTTTTTTTATTGACAAGATACCCACCCACACCTGCCCTTGGTATTTAGCTAAGGCCTACGTGCAAGCATTTTCATCTAGTTCAAGCTGACATCCCTAAGTTTTTACTTTGTCAATAACCCATCTTTCCACAAGCCATAAGGTCTAAGGGTTTATCCCACCACAACAACCACTGAACTGGTAGTCACCTTCTTGCACTTAAGAGTGCCTCAAATAAGGCCATATCACTCATTCTTTCAATTTTCTTTTCGATCAAAGAATCTCAGAGTACTCTCAAATGTACGAAAGTACCAACATAAGCTTTACATCAACAATATCACCTTTACAAAAAGAACAGAAAAGAAAAGGCATGCACATACTCATGCTCATTATTAACACTATCCATTAAAAGAATCCAGGGATTGAAGCTTTTAGGTGGGTTATTATCACAGTGGTGTAGGATCGACCAGCCAACAAGACAGTTTTGGATGGCAGAGTCACCTAAATTGCATAGGAAGTTGCTTAAGAAACAGTGCACATTTCACATAGGCACGAGATAAACAAAAAGTTAAGCTCATAAAAATAAACAAAAAAGATAATTAATAAAACACGAGGCATCCAAAAAGATTAAAAAAAAATGATAAACAGGTGAAGCAAACTTCTAAACAGTTCATTACTTACATGACTCCAGTTGGCTTCAGCCAACGATCACGAGCACATATCACCGAGTCAAACATAGACTCACGCAGGAGAAAGTAACCCATCCACTCAGAGATAATCACATCAACTGTCCATTAAACAAAATCTATGATCAGAGGAAAAAGTCTCAAAACACTCACTAAAACAATCTAGATGCCAACCTTTCTCTGGCAAGACGACCTCCTCCATAGAGCCCTCAATTACTTCAACAATGTCTTGAAGATGATTTGCCTTAACAAGAGACAGGGCATGCTCTGACATCTTAGTTGCTTCAACAGCATAGACCTTCCTTGCACCAGCCTGGGCAGACCAGATGGCAAGAATGCCACTTCCTGTTCCTACATCCAACACAGTCTTCACAAGGACTCACCAAATTAGTTTCCTATCAGTATTTAACATAGTTACAGAAACAACCCAAATAATATAATCAATAAGAAAACTAAGCACCCCTGTCTCCAATTCTTCATTTTCATTGCTTTCCAAGTCTATAATGCTTACAGGTTATCTCAGTTCGACATACACTGCAACAAATATGATAGCAAAGCTTGAAAAGAAAAAAAAGAGATTAAATTTTAGAACTTTCAAACAAAAAACAATAACACCCAATTGCATTCCCTTTCATTATATGTTACACCAACTCACTAGAACAAATAAACTAATAATTAATACCCAAAAAGAAAAGGGTTTCTTTTTTTGTCACATTTAGGTTCAAGTTCTATGCTTTAAGTTACTGAGTGGCATTTGAACAAAAGGGTATTCAATAAAAAGAGAAAAGAACACGAAAGGAGGTTACCTTTCCTTTGAAATGATGTTTGTTCTGAAAAACAGCACTGTAATAAGCGTCCATGCGGACTCGATCACAGAGCATCTCTTTCTGGTGGTAAAGAAAAGCATAAGTGCAGAAGTAGTTCGCAAAATCAACTCCTTTATCCACAGTTCCACTGCTGCTGCTGCTTACGACGCCGTTTGCACGGCTCCCCATCCCCCTCTCTCGCTGAGCACTGTAAACTCAAGTTGATCTACACGGCGAGAAACAGAGAATGTTCTTTATTAGGGCAACGTCGTCAAAAGCGCTGGGGTTTTGGCTCCAAAAAAATATAATTATTGTAGTGATAAAACAGGATGCCACGTCATCAGCTTGCGAAGTGCCAAAAGTGGGGCCCATTTTGATTTACCGCTGTAGCTCTGTAATGACCGTTGGATTGATGTGTTTTCTTTTAATGGCAAAGACATTTTTTGGCTGGATTATAAGATTGCAAACAAATACTCTTTGTTTACGTTTTGGAATTTCTATAACACTGGGTAAGAATTGCAGTGTAGTACAAATCTTCATATGAATTTGGTTAATGACAAAATCTCCATTAATTTTTTGTTGATTAAATTATTAGAAAAAGAAAAGAAAAGAAAGAAATGAAGCACATGGATTAGATTTAGTAATTTTAAATGTGATAAGATAATATAAAAAAATAAAAATAATATAATTTAAAATTTTTATAAAAAAAATATATGAATTTGATAAAAATAAAATAATGTATTTCATGTTTACACTGTCGACATGAATTATAATAATAGTTTTAATGTTCATATTTGATATATTTACATGGATTATAATAATATTTTTAATATTTTATATCTATTTGATATAAAATAGATACAACATGACGTGGATAAACAAATTGTAAAGTTTAAGCTGAGAAAACTTGGTCCAACTTGTTGATATAGGGAGACATTTGTCACTTCCATGGCAAAAATCAAACGTTCAACATCGTATCCTTTTTTGGATAGTTCCACCAAGAAAAATGTAGGATTCTGCGTGTTTCTCATAAGCCTCTTTCATGCGGACCACTACATCTCGTCAAAAACCATGTTTGCGGCTTGCTTAATGTGAAACTCATGACGATTTTGAGAGTAACTAAAAAAAAAAGTTGTAAAACCCAAATGTTTTCCAATTTCCTTAGCTTATTCCCAGTTGCTTGGAGATTTCAGTAGAAGTAGAGCAGCTGCTAATTCTATGGCAGTTGAATGTTAAACTATGGCAGTTTGAGGTGATCAATTGGGCATATTCATCCATTATTATCTAATCTAACCCTTCTCTATTACATTGAAATTGAACATGTTTAACTTTGATGTCATTTTAATGATACCTGAAGCCTGCAGCAATTCTGTTTTGATGACTTATCGTTGTTGGATAGTATATGGTAGTTTTAGGAGCTTTTGGCCCCTTTTTATTTCTAAGTGTTAAATGTTCATCAAAATGGATTAGTTAATTCATCAAAATGACATCTCAAAATCATGATATTTTCCAACCTCAGATATATGGCTTATTCTTCATCATGTCATTGATCTATCACCCTCCACCGTATCCGGCACTGGCACTATTCTGTTCCATTTGAATTCTAGAGTTATCGGATGCTTAAAAGATAAAGGCATGAACCCCCCTGCGTCAACATTTGGCTGATCCAAAAGATGGAAAACAGTTTTTAATCTTTAGAATTAAATATTCAAATGAATGCTACTTCCTCTCGAAAAAGCTTAACAATTAATGGTTTCTCAACATGTGGAATAAATGAAAGCCAGATGATCAAGAATCTTTTGGTTTGCCTCCCTATCTACTTGAAGACGATGATGAAGCTCTAATGGAGGACAAGAAAGCAAATATAACAGCTGTTACAATAGTCACCCGCCTCATCATATTTATCATCGTTGCTCACTTATCATCGAAGCTTTCATACCTACATCATGATTGCTGGTCAAGGATATTACACCTTGATGTCAAGCGAGAAAATATACATCTTGATGAGAATTATAGAGCAATTTTCGTACATTTTGGTCTTTCATAGTTGACGGGAAGAGATGAGAGCAGGGTCATTACAACAATGGCTCTTGGAGCAATGAGTTTCAGAGAAATCTGATCTCTATAGCTATGAAATAGTTCTTATGGAGATGACTGGGGGCCGAAGAAACGCCACTGTGATTGAAAATGGCAGTACTTTCCTAAAATTGTGAGGGACAAACTAAAAGAAGGAAAAATAATAGAAGCTCTTGATCACAGTCTAGCTGAAGCAGGAAAGTGAAGAAGACTTACTCATGTTGCTTTGTGGTGCATACAAGAGCGGGCGAACCAAGGCCTAGCATGGCACAAGTGGTTGAGATGCTTGAAGGGGACACACAAATGATTGTTGTCGATAGATGAAGAGGATTTTGATCGCCAATGATAGGCCAAAAATTGCTGCAATGGGATCTCATGTAGACTGCAACGTTCCTAGCTCATCTTGATCCTCATTTGCAATGTCTGTGCCATCTGGACTGTAGCTCCCTATTACTGGCCTTGGCCCTTGGGGGAACTTTCCCTTGCATTTTTTCATTTGGTTTTGAAAACCCTTCTTTTGCAGATCATTGAATGTTGACCTTTTGGAAGATCTTCCCTGATAATTTTAAAATATAGTATGTTTCTTGGTCAAGTTGCTGAAGCTAAGAGGAAAGAAATATATGTACTGAAGCAATAATCAATAAGATTAGCACTCATAGATAATATTGGTTCCATTAATGAAAAATAAAATAACTATCCAATCCAATTAATAAAATAAGAGACCATACTACTTTTTTTTTTTTCCTTTTACCAATAATTCATATTTTATTCATCAAAATAGAATTATACATATAAAAAATGGATTTTTTATAAAAAAAAGTTTATGTGAGAGAAGATTATCCTATTTAAGTATCAAGAGATATGGTTAACTTTAACGAAAATTTACAGATTATCCATTAAAAAAAATTATTAATAATAAATATCAAAATTAAAAATATTTAATCTTTATCAACTCAACTAATTTCATTCACATACATCTTTAAAATTATAATAGTTAATATTCCTAAAACCAATTTAGTTAATGATTATCAAAATAATATTATTTTGTAATACCAATTCAATATTTGGTTGGAAAGTTTTGCATGATGGAAAATTCTACAAGTCAAGCTTCAAATTTAATAAGTTCTATTTATTTACCAATAAGAATTACTAGAATAAATATTGTTTTTACTTTTTTTTTTCAATGATACATGTTATAGACACCTAATTTGATCTAAATCCGGATCAATTGGACCTGATCCAAATGGGTGAGCCCATTTGTTTATTTTTATTTTTATCTATTTATAAATATATTTTTTTATCTATTAATCTTTTTCTTATTTATCTATTAATATATATATGTTTTTATTATTTATTAATATATATTTTTTATTATTTATCTATTAATATATATTTTTTTAATTATTTATCTATCCATATATTAATATATACATTTTTAATTATTTATCTATCCATATATATATTTTTTTATCTTTTTTTCTTTGATTGATTTGCGGCTAGGATTAAGATAAAAAAAGTTAAAATTCTACCTTGAATTTGGGACTCAATCAGAGTCTTGATTGGATTTAAAGATTGAATCTCAATCCAAGATAGAGTTGGGATTGATTAGAAACTCTTCTGATCAATTCCTATAAATAGATCCACAAATCACAAAAAGAACACACAGAAACACAGAGAGAGAGCAGAAAGAGAAGGAAAAATGGGCATTCAGAAGGATCATAAGCAATTTTAGGAGTTTTTTAGAAATTTTGAAGAATTTTAGACGAATTTTTTCTAGAAATTTCTGGAAAATTTTTAAATTCCAGTGAATTTTTCGACGAAATTTGAATTTTTGAATTTTTCGTTGACTTTTTTGCACCGGTTGAATTTTTCGGTCAGCTACTCAGTTTTTAACGTACTATTTTCAAAAATCGATCAACTTTCTATTGAACTTTCGACGAAAAACTCAGATTTCGATAATATTTTCTAGAATCCGACGAGATTCAACTGGAGTTCTTGATTTCTTTAAAGAGAAAGAGAAGAAAAACAGGGAGAGGAGAGAAAAGAAAAAAAGTAGTCTACGAAAAAAACAGAGGTTAGAGCCTTTTATACTTACTGAAAACGACGTCGTTTTGATGTTACTATTCTCAAAGGATCCTCGCATTTTAAAATCAGGCGACCCGACCGGAGCATCAACCCGCATTAACCTGAGTGCTAGTAGACCCTTGGAGTCGAGCTGAGCCGAGCCGAAATCCCCGACTCGTGTCTCCGAGCTGCTTTTTCTATCTTGAGCCGAGTCGTTTTTCAACCGAGCTGAGCCATTCCAAAGGTTTTTTTTATATTTATATATATATATTTTTTATTATTATTATTATTATTATTATTATTATTTATTAGATTAAAATTATTTAGTATTTTTTATTTTATTTTTTTATAAATGGTTTTCTTTAAATAAAATTTCAAAAAATATTTTTGAAGAAAAGTTGAAAGTATCAATTTTCCTTGAAAATAAGTTTTCAAAAAAATATTTTTGAGGAAAAGTTAAAAATATCAATTTTTCTTGAAAATAAATTTTTAGAAAAAAAAACATTTTTAGAAAATTTTGAAAGTATCAATTTTTATTGTACAAAAGCAATGAGCTTTTGAAAAGAAAAAGATTTATATCTAAAGCTGAATCTTTTCTAAAAAATATTTTTTAGGAAAAGTTAAAAATATCAATTTTTCTTGAAAATAAATTTTTAGAAAAAAAATATTTTGAGGAAAAGTTGAAAGTATCAATTTTTATTGTACAAAAGCAATGAGCTTTTGAAGAGAAAAAGATTTATATCTAAAGCTAAATCTTTTTTTTTTCATTTTATTTTTGTTCCTTTTTGAATTTTTTTTAATGTTAAATAATCCGACGATAGAGCCTCTGCAAGTGAAACAGTAGTCTCATTGCATATTTTTGAGGTGATAGAATCTTATCAATTTTTTGTTAAAAGTATTAGAGTCAATTGAGAATAATTTTTAATAATTAATTACTTAGTAAATTTTTAAAGCTTATTAAATAACACAAAATTAAGCTGATACCATTTTTCAATAAGCGTTGTGAGGGTGCTATAAACTTCTTCACACGTAATCGTATTCTCAAACTTTGTTCTAATTAGTAGACTTATACATATTATTTTAAGGACCCTCAGACTTAGGTGTTTCTTAAAAAGATAGATTCTTTAAGTGACCAATCGTACATAAATAAAAAAGATTAATGGTGATTTCTAAAACTAATATCTAATAATAAATCATCAAATCTAAATGTTATGACACATATTTTATCTTATTCTCAGTTAAAAAAAAGATCAAAAGCTCAAGACAATTGCTTATTGATTTTTTTTTTAAATAAAAGAAAGAAGAATAAAAAAAAAGATAAAGCTATTTACAAAATAATAATAATAAAAATATATATATATATATAATAAACAAAGTTAAATAGTGGTTTTAACCTGATAATTGCCACGTGTCCTAAATATAGGGGTTCCGATATCAATCCGAGGGACAAATATCTAGATTTCCCTTTCAGACAAAAGAGAAAAACCCTAAAACGACAAAACACAAACAAGAGGATTTATCAGAGAAAAAAAAAAATCAATATCTGGCCTTTGGTGACCAAAAAAGGGGATTTTTGTATCTAAGCCTTCGGAGTCTTCACAGCCAGTCGACGTATCACTGGAAAAGGTAAAATGCATAAAACCCTAAAACCCATTTTCCTTTTCTGATCTCTTCTTTTCCCGTTTTCTGCTTTTTGATTTTTTTTCTTTTTTTAGAATTTCTTGAGAGTTCATTTTGCAGGTCTTTCGAACCTGTTAATCCTCAAAAACAGTTGACTTGAAAAGTTTCATTCTTGTTCCATCTTGGGCTGTTTTTTAATCTTATTTTTCCTATGAATTTTCAGCTAAGATTTTTTTTTTTTTACTTTTCATTTTAAGCAATGGATACCATCATTTATTTAGAGTTGAAATCCCTTTTTTATGAAGGGTTTTGAAAGATATGTAATTTGGATTAGATAGAAAAATCTTCTTTCTGATGAATTTGTTGGAATGTACTTTTTTTTTTTTTGGCAAGTTTTGATGCGGATTCTGATTTGGGGTTTAGTTAAAGTGTTGCTAACAAGGGCACTTGGCAGGTGCCGAGTTGCTTAGTTATAAGTATTATGTATCAATGTAGTGAAAAGAAATTACGTTGTAGAATTGACATTTGATATTAAATATAAATCTAGGTCTTTCTTCATTGCGGGATCACTGCTGCCTTCTGCTCTTACAATAGGCAGGTTTGGTTACTGCTACTTTTCCGTGGGCTACTATGAGCTTCACTGGTCCTTCTGTTGGTCCTGGTTAGTTTATCTGCTTTGCTCCATCTTACTATAGTGTAATGTCTATGATGAGATCTCACTAGCAAGCTTGTGTAAATATTTTGATTGTTCTTATGGCAATTGAATCACTTGGTTCTTCATTGTATGGTGGATACTGGATTGGTATATATGTTGATTCAAGTTGATTTTTTATAAATTCACTAGCTTGTTTTTCCTCCTTAGTTATAATGACTGTTAACACTTGAACTCTACTGTGACAAATTTCAGGTGGTAAAACCATTAGAAGAGCACTTGAATTTGGAAGAACCTCTGTGGTCAGGCCCAAAGGCAGGCACCAAGCGACCATAGTTTGGCTGCATGGCCTTGGTGATAATGGTTCAAGGTATTATAAACTTTGCATTGCTTTCTAAGCTTCTTATTCCTAGTTTTTGGTTCTTTCTTTGATGAATAAATTTAAGATTATTTTCTCAATAATATCAGTTATTTAACTTATTTTGTCCGAGGAAAAGAAAACGATTTAAATTCAGATTCCTTATCTCTTATTAACTGTCAATTTTTAAAGGAAGGAATATTATGTATGTTCTTGATACAGCCTGACTGAGTATGGAATGAAGAATGAACAGATAAGATGCAGAGAAGATAAGCTGAGAGAAAGAAGAGAAGAAATTAGAGATAGAGAAGGTTTTTGAATTCTGGAATTTTTTCTGAATGAGCATACAATGATCGCTAACACCCTTAAAACTCCCCAACAGCTCAGTTCTGTAACTAATCCTGCATAACTAAATAGTCTGATAATGATGTTAGTAACAGACACTCAACTGACCTTTAAACTAAACATAGTGATTGGCCTGGACTCGGTTATGGGGCTCATAACATTCCCTGGCCCAATTTATTTCTTTAACTCTGGCTTGTAGCATTTCTATTTAGTAAATTCTATGAATGTTGAGTTGTCATTTCTAATTCTTCCTTCCCTCAACAATTCAACAGATCTTTTAAGGAAAATAACACTAGCTTGTCTTTGATTTTTTCTGATTTTGTTTGTGACAGTTCTTTTCACTGCTTCCACCTTTTCTTTTTCCCTTTCTTGTTTGGCTGATTGCACCAGTTAACTATAGTCACAAGAGTTTGAGATGTTCTTAACATCTTTGTATCTTGTTGTTTTCATCTATTTTGGGCCATTCAAGAAATCATTTGGCACCATAACAATATTTCTATGGATTATTATTTTGTAGTGAGGAAGTAAATACCTTCAATATGTGATATTAATCTTTCTATCAGAATTTCTGAGGTGTTCCTTTCTGTCAGTTTACTAATCCTGCATATAATGACATGGGTGTTATTGTTTTTTATTGAATTCCTGGGAGGGGGGGATTTGTTGGCAACTAGGCATTATGAGTTAATTGGAAATCTCTCTTTCTCTATGCAATTTTTGTTCTTTTAGTATAGCATTATTGCTATCAATGCTTAAATAAGTAGCAGGGAACTAATCTTTGCATGCAAAAAACCTCTTTTATGCTCTGTATTATGCTTTAGTCTTGAATTGCTGCTACTTTGCTGATAAGGCTCGCGCAAAACTACAAGTTAAGCTGATAGTAAAGATAATTCTGCTTGAATTTTTTAAGTGGTTTAGTCTTCAAATTGCAAGTTGCTGCATCTTCATGTTTCAGCAAGTTTTTTCATCCAATAAATTATATGGGTGCCACTTAGAATCTGAGTGATCCTCTCCTATGAGGTTCCTTATCTTTGTGATCAATGATCTCAAATATAAGACAGAAAATTCCTGATATCTTTTGAAACATCTACTCACCCTTATTTATCCTTTCATCTTGTTTGGCAGCTGGTCGCAGCTCCTGGAGACCCTCCCTCTTCCAAATGTAAGGATGATTGGTTGTAGCCAAAAATGTTCAGGAGAATATATTCTAACTATTAAGTATTAACCAATGAATTTATTTTTCTTTATAATTTCATAATTTTCCATGCCTTTGATCCTATGGTGCAGATTAAATGGATATGCCCAACTGCCCCTACTCAACCAATAACTATATTTGGTGGCTTTCCATCAACTGCTTGTAAGTATTTTCTTAAACTTCCATAAGGATGCAATCTCATTGGAAGGAAACAAATGCATTAAATTTCTTTCTCTTCAACCTTTGTGCTTGATGATAGTGCTTTGAATGCTAATCTAGTTGTTGAATTGTAATGTTACATGCATCAGGGTTTGATGTGGGAGACCTTTCAGAAGATGCTCTTGATGATATAGAAGGTCTGGATGCTGCTGCAGCACATGTTGCAAATTTGTTGTCAACAGAGCCTGCTGACAGTATGTTTCTTCTCACCACCTTTTATGAGTTTTATGACACTAGATTTTTTTGGGCAGTTTTTCCAATTTCTCTTCGTAATATTTAGGTATCAATGCATTTTAGACACTTGTGTAATGTTTTATAGCAAGAATTCATGAGAAAGAGAGTTTTACATTGTACAACTGCCAATTGTTAGTTTATATTCTACAAGATTTCAAGCTTTTTTGGCTATCAAATGTGAACAATATTCTTTTCATTTTTTGGCCATAAAGCAAGAACATGAGAGGAAATGGTGTTGGTTTTAGAAGTCATTAGATTTAGTGTGCCTTTTAGTTTCATTTTCTGTCTCTTGTATGTGAGCTTGTCGGACAAAGATACGTCTTATTTGTGTGGTTGATTTTTGCTGGATGTACATAAACACTGATAAATTTGATTAATGTAACTGGAATCTCTTTCTCTCCAAACTTGATAAATGTAACTTGTGCAGGAGTTTAAAGAGTGGCAGCAAACCATCTGACTCTCAAGTTTGTAATGGCCTAAAGAGCTCTTACAGTTTTCTCCTCTTATTTCTGCTTCTATCTATCTTGACAATCATGGTTTTTTTTACAATTCTTTTTATTTACATTATTCTAATAAATGCCTGTAAACAATGACTAGTTTTTTAGGATTGGTTTAAATCTCTGTAATTTGCTGTTTCATTAGTTTGGCTTACGATCAATGCAATGTTGCATTCACCTTAGTTTTCACTTTCAGTTTTAGCACTGGAAGTTTTGTTTATTGTCATTGGTTTTGACATTATTTTGATAGTAGCTTTTTCCAATTACAGTTAAACTTGGTGTTGGAGGCTTCAGTATGGGTGCAGCTACCTCCCTATACTCTGCAACCTGTTTTACTCATGGAAAATATAGGAATGGCAATCCGTATCCTGCCAATTTAAGTGCAGTTGTTGGACTTAGTGGATGGCTTCCATGTTCAAAGTTGGTTTCCTACATTGTCAATTTCTTATTTGAGCTTGATGCTTTCTCTCTCTCCTGCATTTGTCTGGTTTATTGTTATAAATTCCTTTCTTTTCCAGGACTTTGAAAAGCAAAATAGAAGGACAGGATGAAGCTGCAAGACGTGCTGCATCCTTGCCCATTTTGCTATGCCATGGCAAAGGTATTCATAATCACTTTCATTATGCAAATTATCATGGTTCTATGTTTGATCATTTTGTCAGAGATGGTTTTAGATTATTGGCTTTATCTTATACCTCTGGTACAGAAGTGGTGCCACGACCATTACCACCATTTATTTTGATTAGGAAGTAGCGGTGGGATATAACAAGATGGTATTCACATAATCTCTGCTAGTTGAGGAGTTTAACTAGCGAAATATGTAGTGTCAACCTGAGTTTAGTTCTTCCTAACTTAGAAAAGCAAATCTTTGTTTTACTTTATTAGACTGGTATTCAAGGGGATTAAAAAAAAAGGTACTGGTGTAACATCTAAAAGTACTGCTTTTTCTAAGGATGAATGAATTGTAATGAGTAGTGGTCCTACCAATGTATTTCATATTTACATAATTGCCATTGTTAGCTAAATTTTGTGTGCATTCGATATTATATTTGGGCCTTATTGATTTATTAGGCTTGTCAGAAGTAATCAAGGAATAAGTTGTTGCCTGTATAGAGAAGGAAATAGCCCATTGAAAAATGTTTATGCGTCCTCAATAGACGACCATTCTGAAGCCTAAACAATTCTGAACGAAATGAACATCTCTTTTGGTACTTGGTGGCTGCCATCATTTTCAAGTAAATCTTGTAATTATTGAAGCCTAAACTCATGTTTGAAACATTTGGCACTATAGTTGGCGGTTGCCACCATTTTACCAAATTCAGTTTTACTATTTTACTTATAGTTTCATGATTGGCATCAAGGCTATTAGTGATGTTCCTTTTAACTATGTATATTACATATTACATGTTTGCTTGTAGGTGATGATGTGGTTCCATATAAATTTGGTGACAAATCCTCACAAACATTGAGTTCAAATGGATTTCAGGACGTGACTTTCAAATCCTACAATGGGTATGGATCTTGAGAGTCTAACGAAACTCTCATGTTTCTTAATGATTTGACAATTCATTGACTTAAACTAAGTGCTTTGTTCAACAATATAGGCTTGGTCACTATACAATCCCTGAGGAGATGGAAGAGGTTTGTGCTTGGTTAACTTCAAAACTGGGCCTTGATGGCCGATCCACGTAAGGGTGTAATCTGAAAATGTTTTGCATTATTTGGAGGAATTAAAATGGAGAGGAGAGAAAAAATTATTTACAAGTCACACGAAACAAGATTGAGCAAAATTGTTCTGGTTATGGGTGTCATATATGGTTTAGTTATAATTTGCATACCTTGTTATTTCTCTTGTAGTTGATATTGCTTAAATGGTCCTGGACCTTGCTAGAACTGTGTGTGGTGGAACAAGAGAACCTGTACCGATGTGACCATCAACTTGCAGTTTGGAAATTTATTATTTGTAATGCAAACTGGATTGTAAATTTTATGTTTTGCACAATGTTTACCTTGCTATTCAGCGTAAGAATAACGCCCACGGTTTTCTGATTCACCGGCGTCACTAAGAATTATTGATGTATTGAGCTCCTGTTTTTGACAAGCATGTTGGAGCATTTTCTTTGTAATTTGAAAGCACAACCATCTTTCCAGACTATGTTAGGTGGTAATCAACGTACTCCCTCTCTTCCAATCACCACCTATATGATGGAAATCGGTCACTTGCCTCCCTATCTACCGTGCTCCAGTATGATTTGAGTGCTCCAGTCGGTCACTTGGAACTTGTTTATAGAATGCCGGAACCTCCACTTTCCGATGCTCAGTATGAATGGTTAGTCTCTCCTTAGCCAAAGTTTCTTGCGCAGTGAATGGTTTGCCTTTCAATATTGTTAAATCTCTTGTAACATTGAACCAGAAATTTAATTCAATTGCTTCATTTAACCATCCTTAAAAAATATTTTTCAGATCAGGTTTAGATTTCGAACCTGGATGCATCCTTTTCTTTTATCACGGTCTCAGATGTGCCAAAAAAATCTCTCATAACATTCAAATGTTCACTATAAATTATATGCAATGCCATTTGGAGGCCACAAGTTTAATGTAAGCACTCGTACAAAGTATCAATAACAAACTATAATTCTAGTGCCAAATTCTTTTGCTTAAATCAATAAACAGGAGAAGAAAAAAAAATTGAAGACACTAAAAATCTGGAAAGCATGTGGGAAAATAATTAATTACAACATTCAAATGAAAGGCATGCAAGCAAGCTCAGCACTTATGCTTCCAGTTGATTCTTCCCTACAAAGCAAGTATTGTCGATAAAGGCTGCCGTGATAAGCCCCTCTTCTGAGGTATCTTGCTTTCACTTTTGGGCTTCTTTAACAAAAGCTATATCCAGATTTTCATCTTTCGGTGACAGCAAGTGTTTCTCTTGATCTGTATCATCAAGTTCTGTTGAATCGTGGGGGGTTGTAGTTGAGAGAGACTCGGTTCCATCTTCTGGAAGCAAGCAGCCAAAAGATGCAGAAGAAAGTTCCCAAATATGAGTGTAGTATCACAAGAATTAATGGCAGGTTAAACTTTTCAAAAGCAAGACAAAAGAAATAAGAAGCATACCCATTTCATGGTATTCGGGCATCTGCTTCACTGCAGTTACTTGAAGGCTTTCAGGAAGCAGACAGCTGAATAAAGAACCTGCATTTTCGGCAAATCATGAACTATTTTCAAAGTGTTTTTCTATTTCCAGGAAAAAGCCAAATATGGATGATGAAAGTAGACTGCATGACAATCGAAGCTTGGCCTACTGGTTGTTTCCCTCCGATAGAGGGTCAAGGGCCAGGGTCAATTTCTGTCTTCCCCCGCCTTGTTTAAACATACCAAACAAAAGTAACTAAATGCATTGCCAATTCTTGAGCCCGACCCCCCCCCCCCCAAAAAAAAAAGGATCAAAGCTATGACATGATGAAAGGAGGAGCAAGGCATTAACATCATTCCAATGTCATGGATAATTCTTGAGAAAGAAAGATATGGTAAGGCAAAGATACATAGACACGCTCTCACACACACACAAATATATATATATATATATATATTTGCATATAGAGAATTCGATAAACAAATGGAAGGATCGACATACCTAGCCGAGCAAGCCGGTTCACCCATCCAGGGATATGTCTGCCTGTCAATCTATGTGCCATGTCATCTGTAAAGTGGTTACAGTTCTTGGAGATGAGGTGGTAGGTATCTCCATGATACTCAGAAGCTACACTCTCAATAAATTCTCTAAATTCAGAGGAAGGCATGTTTATCTGTCCCAACGAGATGGAACATCGATAGTTAAAACCAGGGCAGCTCTTGGGCTCCACTTCAAAAACTCCACTAATGGGAAAATCATGGGCCCCGAACCCATACTCTTTACCATGAACTGTTCATAAATTTCAGTTTCCTAGATTAAAAAAAGATTATCGACACAAGAACCAAAATTCATGTCATATTGCGAAAATGCTATCCATCTCTCTTTGGCCTAAACAGCATGATTTCAAATTGAAAAGACTAAATAACAATGATGTATTTAGCAATAAGATGTTTTACTTCAAGCATGCTACAATCTTTGAGATGTGCTGCATTTCAATCCCACCAACTATAAAGAAATGCCTAATCTTAAATTGAACTTATGGAACTTGAGTCATTCACACAATTTATCTTCATCTAATCTAATAACATAGATAACCCTGATTAAAAACTAAAGATGTTAGGACCAAAAGTAAAGATGTTACTGTAGGAAAACACTTATTTATAGCTAGTTGTAATATTGTAATTTGTATATATATTTGTATATCTAGAATTAAATATTTGTATCTTGGAATTAAGGATAGAAAATTAAGATAGACAATCCTCAATTATAGGATCAGTTTTAGAAAGATTTAGTTTCCTAATTTATCCACTAGTTAGTTGTAAATAAACCCAACGTACTTATATAATTCTTTATTAACAATTTTTTAATATACATTTAGTTTTACTCTTAGTTTTTCACACAAATTTATTTCTTAATTTTTTCACATGATATCAAAGCTTTAGGCTTTTCTTGGAAAGAAAATTTTTTCAGCCTTCATTGCTAAATTCTATTTCAGGCCTTCATAGCCAAATATTATTAAATCTTTTAGTCTTATTTTTTCCTTTTTCGGCCTTCATTGCCTAGAATCATCTCTAGTTAAACCTTTACTATCAAGACTTGTTTTAGTCCTGAGAAAGATAACCATACCAAAGATTGTAAAATCTACCACCACTACCCAATTTGATAAAGTGACAACTGGTAAAACTATCGGAGTACTACAAAAATCTTGGGAACAAAAAATGTTGGACAGAGAAGAGATTGAGAAACTAAGAAGCCTATTGAAAACTCTTGAAAACCTACTAGGATATGTTCTTTGGGTAAGGTCTCTAGTTCAAGTAAAGCTTTTGGTTTTCATGGATTAAATGTCTTGGTTAAGCCTATTATGAGTTTTTGGGTCAGTGACTCAAGAGCCACAGACCATATGATACATTCTTCATAGAAGTTTAGTACATATACCCTGTGTCCTAGTAATAAAAAAATTGTTATTGCAAATAGTTCACTTACTATAGTGGTAAAATTAGGAGATGTTCATATTGATCCTTAGTTTGTTCTTAAAAACGTTCTTCATGTTCTTGGATTATCTACTAATCTGATATTTATACAAAAACTTACCAAAAACATGAATTGTAAAGTGACTTTTTATCCCACCTATTGTGAATTTTAGGACTAGAATTTGGAAAAGAGGATTGGATTTGCTAAGGAGAAGAATAGACTATACTATCTTAAGACATCAAATAACATAAGTAATATCAAGAATAGTTTACATTTGTCATTTTTTTTTGAAAAATCTCTCAATAAAGATAAAATCTGATTTTATCATTTTCGTCTTAGACATCGTTCTTTTAGAACTTTGAAAAACATGTTTCTTTGTTCAAAGAATTACATGCTGAAAATTTTCATTGTAATATTTGTAAACTTGCAAAGCATAGATGTGTCTTTTTCAGTTAGCAATAAAAGAAGTTTTACTCATTTTTACTTAATTCATAGTGGCATATAAGGTCCCTTTACAATTCTTCATATTTTTTGTGCTGGGTAATTTGTTTCTTTCATAAATGATTGTACTAGGATCTCTAGGATATTTTTACTTAAAATAAAATAAGATGTGAATAGTGTGTTTTTAAGCTTCTAAGACATAACCCAAAATCAATTTACAATGAAAATCAAGATATTTAGATCTGATAATGCAAAAGATTATTTCAATCAAAGTTTATCTACCTATTTTCAAGATAAAGAGATTATCTATGAGTCATCTTGTGTTAATACTCCACAACAAAATCGAGTGATAGAGAGGAAAAAAAACCATTTACTAGCCACAACCCGAGCTTTACTTTTTCAAGTGAACATACCAAAATCCTACTATGAGAAGCTGTTCTCACTACCACACATATTATAAATAGGTTCCCTTCAAAAGTTTTGGGATTTAAACTCATGTGGAACTACTCTCATAATTCTATCCCAACTTTAATACCACAAACAACTGCACACCTAGGATATTTGATTGTATATCATTTGTTCATATTCACAGTCATAATAGAGGAAAGTTAGATCCTAGAGCAATTAAGTACATTTTTACGAGGTATTCATCCACTCAAAAAAGGTATAAGTGCTATCATCTTCCTACCAAAAAATTTTATGTGTTTACAGATGTCACTTTTGAAGAAAGTAAACTATTTTTTAATCAACCTTATCTTCAGGGGGAGACTTCATTCATGGAAGATAAGGATAAAGACTTCTTTTTGCTTGATTTATCCTCTTCTTCAACATTTTCACCCATTAATTCTTCTAAGTCTAAACTTGTTTCTTCTGAGTCCAAGTTAAACACTGAATTTGAGTTTGAACGCATTCCAAACAAAAAGATGTGATAAAGGATAATATTATTCTTGATTCTATGAAAGAATTACAGGTGTACTCAATAAAAAAAGTTCCAAATCCTGAACCAGTGTAAGTCTAAAAACCTGATCCTAACTCTGAAAATGAGGTAACTATAGTCTTTGACTCTATTTCTCAAAATAAGCATAAATTTTCTAAAACTATAACTAGTGATTATGATTTGCATATTGCCATTAGGAAAGGAACCAGAGAATGTACTAAGCATCCATTATACCTACTCTCTAATTTTAAGTCATTTGAAAAATTTTCACCATCCCACAAAAATTTTCTTGTGATCTTAAACACTATTTCTATTCCAATTACATTATCTGAGGCATTATCCAACGAGAAATGGAAGCAAGCCATGAAAATAGAAATGGAGGCCTTAGAGAAAAATAAGACATGGGAACTAATAGAGTTGCCTAAAGAAAAAAATTCAATTGGGTGTAAATGAGTTTTCACTGTAAAATACAAGGCGGATGGTATTGTTGAAAAGTATAAAGCCAGGTTGGTGGCTAAGGGTTACAATCAAACTTATGGAGTGGATTATCAAGAAACTTTTGCTCCACTTGCCAATATGAATACAATTAAGATTTTGTTATCATTGGTTACAAATTACAATTGGCAGCTTCAACAATTTGATATAAAGAATGCTTTTTTCTACATGGTAATTTAGAAGAAGAAATATATATAAAGATTTCACCGGAATTTAGAGGTAATTTAGAAGCAAACAAAGTATGCAAGCCGAAAAAGGCTTTACATGGCCTTAAATAGTCTCCTAAGGCTTGGTTCAGGAGATTTGCCAAAGTGATGCTAGCAATGGGATATAAGTAGAGTCAAAGAGATCGCACATTATTTATCAAGTACTCTGATTCAAGAAGAGTTACGATTCTATTAGTGTGTGTTGATGATATAATTGTAACCGAAGATAATGAAAAAGAAAGAATCTCTAAAACAGTATTTGGCTAGAGAATTTGAGATAAAAGACTTAGGGAGATTGAAGTACTTCCTAAGAATTGAAGTAGCTCACTCATGGCATGGTATTTTCATTTCATAATAGAAATATGTGATGGATTTTTTAAAAGGAAACTGGGAAGCTCGCATGTAAATTTGTAAATACCCCTATAGATCCTAATCATAAACTTGGAGAAACTAATGAGGATGTTGCTGTAGATAAAGAGATGTACCAGAGATTATTTGGAAGACTCATTTATCTTTCACATACTAGACCTGATATAGCATATGTTATGAGTGTGATAAGTCAATTTATGCATAGTCCTAAAGAAGTGCACCTATAGGCTATCTGCCGTGTATTGCACTGTTTGAAGGCCAATCTTGAAAGACGTATCTTATTAAAAAAAAATTCGCGGCTGGTTCTAGAAGCATATACAGATGCAGATTATGTAGATTCAGTAATTAATAGAAGATCCACCTCAGGCTACTACATTTTCCTAGGTAGTAATCTTGTGGTTTGGAGGAGTAAAAAACAGAATGTGGTGACAAAATCAAATGCTGAAACAGAGTTCAAAGTAATGGCTCGAGGAATTTGTGAATTACTATAGTTAAAGATTATCCTAAAAGACTTGAAGATCAAGTGGGATGGACCAATAAGATTTTACTATGATAACAAGTTTGCAATAAGCATTACACACAATCTTATACAACATGACAGAACAAAACACATTGAAGTAGATTGACATTTCATAAAAAAAAAACTAGATAGTGGGTTAATTTGCACACCGTATGTATCAACCAAAGGTCAACTTGCAAATGTGTTGACTAAAAGTCTCAACAATGCAACATTTCAAGAAATTATTTTTAAGCAGAGGATGAAAAACACATATTCACCAGCTTGAAGGGGAGTGTAAGAAAGCACATATTTATAGCTGGTTGTAATATTATAATCTGTATATTTATATTTGTATCTCTAAAATTAAGTATATGTATATTTAGAATTAAGGACAAAATTAAGATAGACAATCCGTCAATTATAGGATCAATTTTAGGAAGATTTAGTTTCCTAATTTATGCGCTAGTTAGTTGTATATAAATCTAAGGTGCTTGTGTAATTCTTTATGAATAAGTTTTTAATATACACTCAATTTTACTCTTAATTTTTTACATAATTTTATTTCTTAGTTTTCCTACAGTTACAACTTCATTTAGCATATAAAAACCTGATCAAAAATATTTCAAAAGATAAGAACCAAATCTTTCTAAGTAGAAAAACATGGCCTCATGCATGCACAAAAATTTAGCAAACAAAATTTCTTAACCATCATACAGTGTCAAAAAAGGAACATCTTCACACCAAATTTATTTTTCTAATTACTCCGGCTCATAAAAACGGAACCATTTTCTTAAAGGAAACAAATTTTCAAACGCAAACATACCAAGAAAAAGTACTATAAAATTGGATGATGAATTCATTCGTTAATACAAAGATCAAAGTAAGTTTCAAAAGATATCATTTTCTCCATAATTCATACCATTATTACACTCCAAATTCCTCTCCAAGAAAATACCTTTCTTTCCTAAAGAAAAACCCAAATAAATAATCATCGTCAGCTACATATTGAAGATAATCACATAAAAATCATTTAAAAAGAATTCAGCAAACACATTTCTGTTTTCTATCAAGAGAAACCAAATCCACCATTTTGAAGCAAAAGAAAAAGCTAAAATAACCAACACCCACATCCCAAAAACATAAGAAAAAATTCCATAACAAAAACCAAAAAAAAAAAAAAAAGGAATTCAGAAATGGGAACAAACCTTCAATACCGGAGTGGAAAATCCCAAAACCAACCCAATGAGAGTAATTATTGATAGGAGTAAGATCATATACATTCAAAATCACATTGGTTTCATTGTTATTGCTCACATTTTGATTCCCAGAGCTAGAATTTGAGACTTCCCCTCTCGTCATCTTTTTTTCTTCCAATTGACATAAAAAAAAAAAAAAGAATAGGTTTGCCAAAGAAAAGATTTCCCAAAATCCTCCGAAATCTTTTCCTCGTATCTCAGTATAATAGGGAGAGAGCCTCAAAGATTTCCTCGTTTCCTTGTATCTGTTGGGGTTAAAAAGGTTTTGAAAACTGTTCTTTTTTCTCTGGAGGAAACAGAAAGAGAAAAGAAAGGGGAAAATAAAGTAAGGGGCGAATATGGCAAAGACAAGTTGGCTAAAGATTGTCTGCAGCTTTACAGTTAATCTGTTGAATGTTTTTCTTTTTGCCACTGAACTGTCAAATGTCATTTTAAATAATGTACATATACGAGTACTCCTGGATTATAGATTAATAACTGGATTTTGCTAAAATGACAAGTTTCTCTTTAATATTATTATTATCATATTATAAAAATATTTTTTCACTGCATAATTGAAATTATCACGTTAACTATCATAAAGCGCATTTAATACAAAAATATTATCAATGGCATGTTAATTAAAATTTTATATAAAAATATCACAATCCGAATATAGAAATAAATTACAAATACTAAATTTTAATTTTAAATTCTTAAAAAATTATTTTTAAAATGTAATTAAGTAAATTAATTAAATTTAAATTTATGCATTAATAATTTCAAATATACCTTTATAGCTTCTTTCATAAATATATATGTTTAATGATTCAATCATGAACTTTCATCAATCTCATTTGAAATCAAACAGGATCGATCAAAATTTTAATTTCAAATTCAAGTCTAACACATAAATCTGGCTCATTTGTCTTTTCAGGAACAAAAGTTTCTTTTATTTTTATTTTTTCCTGCCTCGAAAGAACTCCATTAGGCTTGAAAAAGAAAAGGAGAAAATCTAGATATAGCTCAATTATATTTTTACACTTTATTTTTAAAAATTTTTGTAAGTGAAATTATTTAAATATTTTTTACAAGTATTTGGATATTTTTATCCGATAAATTTTATCTTTTTAAAAATAAATTTTTGAGAACCATTATAAATTTTGGAAAATCTGTTTTTCCAAAGTTATTATACTTTTCAAAAATACATTTTCAAAAAATTATAATATTTCTCATAAATACATTTTTGATAGTGGATGGATTGAAAGTTTGTGAAAAATTACAAAAAAATATATTAATTTTTTTGAATTAATGTAATAATAAAATTATTATTAAAAAATCATAATTTAAAACTAATAAAAATTTTAATTTAAAAAAAAATCTTATAAAATCTTAATTAAATATTTCATCTCTTGATGTTATAAAAAATTACAAAAAAAAAATTAAATCTTATCAATATATAAAAACTACAACTGCTTAAAATTATGTAAATAATATTATTAAATATTATATAATTTTATCAAAATTTAATATGTTAATTGAAAAAACTCGTTATGATAAACAAATAAAAAAAGTTTTTCAAAAAATTCAATTTAAGTAAATTTATTATAAAATTTTAGTAATTAATACAAAAATATTTAATTTCGATAATAGATATTTGAACATTTATAAAAAAAATGTATTTTAATAATTTTACTTATAAAAAATTAAAAAATCAGTGGGAGATAAAAAGAAAAAACTGAGAGGTTCGTTTGGTCGCTCCCAAAGAAACGAGTAAAACCCTACCACCTTCGAACTTTTGTCCAAATGCGACATTGGTTGTATTAATCCACATAAAAAATGTTGTTAAAAGTGCAGCACGTGAGACTCAAAACTGACGCATAAATTCCACAAATGTGAAACCAGAAGAATTGAATTTGCTTTCTTTTGGTGAGATGACCGATTTCCTGCTTCAGTGTCTTTTTCGCAAATAGTACTTTAACCAAATGGCAGCCAAGAATAGCTCTAATCACCATCACTGTAACAAAAAAAACAAAAACAAAAACAATTGCCCCTCAACAGTTGAAACGAAAACACTCAAATTCTTGCAGCCATAAAGACAAAATGAAATTGATTCGCAAGGAAAAGAGTATACTGATTGATTTAATTTCCCGAATACATTAAAATTTAATTCACTTATTTGATAACATCCGGCAACTCTGGACCAAATTTGTTCCGAGCTGCGCGGAACGGATGTAGAAGCTCAAGCAATAGACTCATATTCCTCCTACCTGAAACAAAAAAAAAATATGGAGTCAGTTCATATACATTCTGAAAATCCATCAGCCATACCATCAGGAAGAAAGCATACAACAAGAATATGTAGATTAATAAGGGAAACACGTACAATTGAAACTTTCACATTCAAACAATAAACAGATCTCTAAAGATACAATCATAGTCATGGTTGATTATCAGGAGTTGTCCGTCTCCTTACACGGCGCCTCCAAGGAAATGAACCACTGTCTGAAGACTCATTGTCTTCATCTCTGGTAGATCCAGTTTCCCCATCATAGCTTTCCCCCCACAGTCTGGTAGATCTCCTCCTAAGACTCAATTGAGCTCTTGCCCTTGAGGTGCCAGACCAACTGCTGCTCCTACGACTAGACCTTGGTCGAAACACTCGAATAAGGAAAAAGACAGTGAGCCAACTTCCGTCATCAATTGGCAAAATGCCGTCATCAGCCCTCTCCTCCCCAAATGAAGATTGCAGAGTGCTGAGCAAGTCCCCAAGGTCTCTCTGGCGCTCCAACCTCCTCCAATTTCGCTGCCGTTCAGGGTCAGCCTCTGATGGGCGAGCAGAAGGGTGCTCAAGTCTTGCATGCTTCCTTAGGTCTTTATAAGCACCAGTGAAATTACATGTTTCAGAGGAACAGCTTCTAGATTTGGCATTCATAAATTGACGAGCAGGCTCTACAACAACCCAATCTTTTATCTCACCACGACACAGTGGACACAGTAGTTTTGACAGCACCTGATTCTCACATGAGACAATAGATGGGGTGGAGAGCCCTTCCTCACTTCTTTCTTCCTGCAAATCAGTAACAGTTGATTCTGAAGTTGCAGCTGCCGCTGGTGATAAGTTTGCAGTTACAAGTTGAGCTCCTTCTTGTTGAGGATCTTGTGTTGTTCCTGCTGAGGCATTAACAAATGACTTGCGAAACTGATCAAAACAGTTAGAGTGGCGATAACTTGTATCGCACATGTATGGATGGCAACCCTTCTCATGGGACGAACATATGAGGAGAATTGCATTGTGTGGATGCTCCATGCAGACAGGGCACCTGGCTTCTTCCCATTCCTTTAGATTTTCCTCAGTTTCTGAAGGGAGTTTTGGCGAAGATTGGTGACTAGAGCTGGGGCTACATGAGAAGGGAGATCTCCTATACCCGTCAAAAGACACAGAACAATTTCTTCTCTCCTTTGGCATGTTGAAATCTCTAACGTACCAACGCTATGCTAAATGACTAGACCTTTCAGAAGGCAGAAACTGAATGCTTGAAAGCATAAAATATAACATCAACATTAGTTTTTACATACAAAGGATAAGATTCAGTAGAAAATGAAATGAGCCAAGGCTTACAAGTAAAATAAAAGAAAAAACAGAAACCCGAAAGTACAGCTATAATGTATGAAAATGGAAAAAATAGAACTTCACAAATATATCATAGATGTTCAAGGGGATAAAAATAAATGGGAAGATATTATATATTTAAAATTAATCCGCACAACATCGGATAAGCTCTAGCAATAGCAGATAGATGTCACACAAAACAGATTCTATGTCCCAAGTAGTTGACATTAAACAGCTCTATAAAAGATAAATAATGTTGTCAGTTAAGATTGTGGCAGAGATGATTTAAGACTCCATTATAATTCCAGGCAACGTAGGGATTAGTCCATAATTAGATTTTAGAACAGTGACCACTCTCATGGCATCACCTTATTCCTTACAAGGCTGACACTGTAAGAACTGGAACCTACAGCAAAGATTAAAATCACCATTGGCTGCCAGTAGCTTATGCAACAGAATGAAGCTACCAGATTCAAGACCGTGATATTGCTGCTGGGCCCAGGTAAAGCCATCATCTGCATTGCATCAATGGCATATTTTTTAAGTACCAGTTCAACACAGGATTATGGTGAAGATAATCTAATTTGCTCCTCAACATCAATATCATCCTTTCATAGCAATGATAAATCAAGTCCAATATTAGTCTTCTATATAATTCGAGAAAAAACTCCTTAACCATGGACAAAATTTCCACAATTCCAACTGGACACCATAGTTAGGTTAGTTCAAGAAAAAAATCCTAACATGATTTAAACAACTCAAAAAATAGCTTAAAATCTAAACCACTTCAATTCAAATGTATACTCCCCCCTCCCAACCCACTTTTCACAGCTTCATATGGCACCATACCTTAAGCAAAATCAAGAAAAGTTGTAACATCTTATTCCACATGCACCAGGCCTTATTCTGAATCCAGCAAATAGTTCTCTCATGCAATTGTAACACAAACTCAATTTGAAAACTTAATGCTGTTTTCCATTTGTTTGCTTCTTTGGGTCACACAACTGTCTCAGACTGGTTCCACACAGAATTTCTTATCTTTGCATAATAGCTTACTTCTTACAAACAACTAGAACAAGATCAAATATCCATAAACCCAAAATGCCGAAATTATCCACCTTTATACCTTCCCACATATCTATATTTTTCCGTCCAAAAAAGATTAACCCGACATGTGGAATCTATCAATTCTCAACATCGAAACTCAACTACAAGACCAGCTCAAGGATCCCTAACATATTACTGAACATTGAAACGCTTAACTTCACATTTCGCAATATAAGCTCTTCAATTCAACTCACTTTCCAACACCAAATTAATTACATATAAAAGAAATTATAATTTTAATTCAAGGGGGGGGGGGGGATTGAAATACACACAAAAACAAAGACAACAATATTGGAGGAAGCAATAAACTAAAGGAATAAAATTACTTTTGAGTTCCAAAAATTAACAAATTAAATTAATTTCGAATACACAAAATATATTAAGCTTAAAATCCCCTGAGTCCCCCAACCCCCAAAAAGAGTCTTTCAAATGAAATAATAATCGAAAACGAATCAGACACTCTTAAGAACTCGATCCAGGACAAACAGGATAGGAATCGATGAGATCCGTGTCAAATCGGACCCTTCGAAATGCCGAAAGAAACGAAAATCAAGAGATTTTTCGATTTGGGTGATTACCCGAAACTTCAACTTCAAGCCGTCAATAGAAAAACCAAAGTGTCTTCCGATTTGATTTGGAGGCTAAGATCTTTAAATTAAAAAAAAAAAAAGTAGTAACAGAATAGATTTGGTAATTAGCGATTGGAAAGAGGAGAGAAGAAGAGATGAAAGAGGGCAGCCATTTACTAGGGCTCTTTCGAGTTTCTTCTGTGTTTGAGCTCGAAGGAAAAATGAAACAAAAAATGCGTTGGATAAAACATAGGGGCATCTAGTATATAGGGAGGGGTCTGACGTGGATAACATCGGTTGGCTAATTTTTTATTTTTCGAAATTTGAATTATTATTTTTAAGTTGGCGCCGTTTCTATTGGACAAAGGAGGGCTTGTCTGCACGTGTCACATCTCGAGTGAGCACCATCTAGGCCGACCGACTCCCGTGACAGAAGCGCCCTCTTGGCGTTTGTGAAGGGCACTATTCTTCAGTTCATTTTTTTTTTTAATTCATTTAACCTAGTCTTTTTTCAATTATTTAAAGAGCGTAAGTGAATATAAATTAATAATTAGATTCGTTATTCAAACACGTCATGATTATAACAAAATTTATTTTTGCACCTTATTTACCCTTTTCGCGAGATTTTGTGGGTAAGCGGTTCACTCGCTGGCGGCTGCGCTTACAATTTGCTTAGGAATTTTGCAAATATGTTGACTTTTTTTTTAAAGGATTTGAGCAATTTAGCCAATTAATACCAGAAAACGGAAATGAAAACAAAAACCTTGGGCTAGAAATAGCTCAACGACATGGGGACGGGAAACAATGCATGGCCATTTGTAGCCTTGAGAACAAAAAACAAAAACATGAAGCTACCTAAGGCCTCGCCCTGTCCTTTGGTTAAAAAACCGTTACCCTTACCCTTTCAATCTAAACTAGAGAAGCCATACCTTCTAAACTCAGCTTGTACATACAATTGCTATATCAAGACCCCGGTGACTGCAAAAACAAATTTCACCTGGCTCAACAACCCCTAAAGAAAGGGTTATCATCACATTGGACATTGCAGTGGATGGCAAACTAATCACATCTCACTCTGCCCTGTCCCTGGAAACGCTAACTTGTTTTACTAAGGAGAAAAACTTCAACGGGTTTGCCCTGTGCCTCTCAGCTTTGCTGTAATTACTTAATGTTCATGGCTGCTGACATGGTACGCAACTCTTTGACGATCTCTGAGAAAGCAGGCCTCGAGTTAGGATCAGTCGACCAGCAACTCTCCATCAAGGATCTCCATGCTGGATCACACCAGCTGGGGATTTCAGGTCGGAGAGTGCCCTTGATTATTCCAGCTGAGTATAATATAAGTAACATGATAAGCATTTGTGTCAAGCAATAAATAAGGTACTTGCAGTAACAACATTATCCTAACAGGCATTAGTATAAAATGATGAAGATATTGCAGCTTTTCTCTGACTCCTCAGTCAACTGATCTTTAACGAGAACCAAATGAATAAAGCAACAAAATACGAGCTACTTCATAGAATAGATTTAAAAAAGAAATATCAAATAACATTTACATCCTGTTCTTCTAAGTGAATTTCTGAAGACTATGACTAAGAAAATTAATTTTAAGGGAAAAGTTCAAGAGGATATAAGACTTTGAAATGGCAGGAGAAAGTGTAAACATGTGACAAACATGAAAACTATAGAAAAATTAATGAAAGAGAGGCATTGCAACAAATAGAACAGAATGACCAGAACTATCATAAATACCAAACTTGTTCACTAGAGATGCATTCAGAGAACGTCTTGAATAGTTGTGAATTAGTTAGCGCTTGTAAATATAAATCCTCGAGTGAATAGGATAGTCAAGTTAAAATATACCTATTATTTCCTTTGAGTGCAAATTAGTGTAAGGTTCCTCCCCAGTTAAGAGTTCCCACATGACTATTCCAAATGAGTACACATCAACCTGCATTCCAGCATAACTATGTATTTAGGGCATAAATCATATTACAGTAGAAAGGTGTAAAAGATAATAAATTGTTAACTATCTAACCTTCTCTGTTACCAAGTTCTTCTTAGTATTTAGAAGCTCTGGTGCCATCCACGGTATAGTTCCTCGAACTCCGCCAGAGATAAGTGTCCTCTGTTTAATTTTGGATAAGCCTAGATCACCAATCTGATTGAGAAAGGAGGAATTTTAAAATTTGTTCAAGCCAAATAGTGACATGTTAACTGATTAAAGTATAGCAAATAACTGTTACCCAAATAGAAGAACTGTGGCTACCTTGCACACTGGTCGTTGAGGATCCCGCATATTAACAAGGAAGTTATGCGATTTTAAATCAAAATGGACAATGTTTTTCTCATGTAGATATTCCATTCCAAAGGCTGCATCCATGGCAATTGTTAATCTCTTTCGGCGATCAATAGTTCTGTAAATCAGACAAGAAGTAATTTAGAGAAAGCAAATGCATATATACTTGCTGCATGCTAAAAACTTCACTTGATGCTACTAGGATGGCAGGTATGAGAAAGAGGTTTCAGAAACTGAAAATATAATGTGAGGATTGCAAATCCACCACTATGTGATGTTAATCTGAAAATTTGCCGTTTTCTGAATATCATATTTTGCTACAGGAACCCATTTTAGGGGTGTCTATAGTTCTGCCAAATTCTAACAGGCATGAATATAGTCTACCAGGGAGCTATTTAGAGCTATAATGTAAAGTGTATGTAACATTGATTCATATAGCACACATAATACGGGTAGCAAAAACTAGTTATCAATCTGTGTGTTTCTGCAAAGAATCAGACATACTTTTACTTAAGAGATGCAAATAAAATATATTGGTTCAATTTTATATTTGAAATAAGATTGTAAAATGCCATACCGATCTTTTCTTCTCAGAACTTGTTTCAGGGAGCCATTCACCATGTACTCTGCCACTGTTGCCAAACTTGTCAAAGGGCAGTCTGTAACTACACCATACAATGCCACTATATTTGGATGGTGAAGCTGACCTAGAATATGTGCTTCCCTCCAAAAGTCTGCAACCTGATTAAAACCAAACAGAAACAGTTAGTTTCATCCCTTTATCTAGTTCTCTTATGTTTCCAAAACCAAAAACATCAGCTACATTAACTAATATGAGTTGAAGATTTCTAGATTGACAGGAAAAACATGTTGAGTTCAAAACAAATCAATGGCCAATGGCAACTCTGATGTCTATAACCAAATGTGGCCAGCACGCACATGACACATGCAAAATCTTAACTATTGTTAAGAGAGCAGCCTAAGTCACATAGGTTAGCACAATAATGTAATTCAAGAGCAATAACAAGAAATATGTATTTGTAGTATCCTACTGAATGTATGATGTATAAAATTAACGAGATGTAACATCTGGATCAAATTCTTTGAAAACATGAGGAAAAAAGAATCAGATAATCATATAATCATTGGAAATGATCAAATAAAAGTAAGTTTTAGAACAACTACCACAGAAATAACTCTACCAGATAATCACATAATCAATAAAGATGATCAAATAGGAGAAAGTTAACTGCAGTAATGTAGAAATGTCTTATGGATATTTACCAATCGCTCTTCCTCCACTGAACCTTCCGAGAAGCAAGTTGGCTTTAACCTCTTGATTGCAACATCAGACCCCTTCCATTTTCCATAGAAGACAGTTCCATATGCACCTGCTCCGAGTTCTTTTATGTATTCCAGGTCAGAACTCCTAATAGTCTGCAGAGTAAGATAGAAATCCATCATCTTTATATTCTTTTCACCTACAGAGTGATAAACAAAAGAGAAATTGTGCAGGGTTTGACAGAATACCTGAAGCCCTCGAGTAGCTAGATGAGTATAAAATGCAGTCAGGTCACTTGAAATTCTACCAATCATCTTAGAGCATTTGTTTCCATCTTTAGCTTCTGACTGGAAAAATTTTTAAGGGGGAAAGAAGAGAGTCAGAAAATGAGTAAACCAAGGCCAAGGAACTATGACAAATTCTTTTCTTTCTTAGTCAATTGTGCAGTAATATAGAAAAAAGATCATTAAATAATACCTTTTCATCAATGCTTATATCAGATGGAAGGTCATGTTTCACCGCTTCTTCTTGGATGTAATCTTTTTTCAATTCATCCATGTGTGTGGGTGAAGGATTAGATGTGTTTCCACTTGATTGATCAACTTGAGGGCCTATGTCCATGTGCACTTCATCCTTAAGATCTATCGGATTTGATTGAGGCATGATCAAGGCATCAGCAACATTGTAGCTATCATGAGAAGAAAGTGCTGGAGGTTGCATTCCTTTGGATGATGACAATGTAAGGTTACACAAAAGATCGATTGAAGAATCAATTCCACCTTGCAAATTATGAGCGCCATAGCCATCCTTATTGTCGCTTTCTAAATTCTTACATTCTTCTGCATCAGGCAAGTGGTCATTGCAAACAAATTCTGTTCCATTTCTATAGCCCATATCATTTGACAAAGCAGGGTGGTTAATGGCATCAGCAACTGATTGTGTGCTCTGAAGATTGCAGTGAATTGGTTCACAACTTATGGCTGCTGCATGACAATTCTCAAAGCGAGTTTGATAAAGAACTTCAAGCCCATTTTTCGATCCAACCATGAGATATTGTTTGGCATCCATCATTCTTATATCTGCAGATGGACTGCCATTAACATTATCGGTAAAGAGAGATTGACTGCCTACGGCAGCCCATGCACCATAATATGTTAAATGACATGCCTTGGGATTTGAATTGCCATATGGAAAATCAGGATTACTTAAATCAGTCATCATACCTGCCCCCTCTAACAGCGCATGCTCAGGTAGTCCAGGCCAAGGCTTCCTAAAACTGGAGCAGCATGACCACCCTTGCTTTGAGATGTTGGAATTTGTTTTCACTCCAGGATAGTATTTCCCACTAGAAATTCCTCCATCCAGCTTAATAATTCCACGGTTCCCAATCCCAGACAGGTTGTTCCTATGATTGCGGAGATAGTATGTCCACTGATTACCAAGATCATTCATGCAGAACTTATGGTTCCAGAACACATTTAGAGAACTATCCCCCGCCACCTCACCAGATTTTATATTACCGGGATTTCCAGCCCTCATGTTGTAATATACTGGCTTCACTGAACTATCCCATGGTATAATATTCTCTGTATTAAAATTACTCATTGACCCTTGCTCACTGCTCCTTAAATCATGTTTAGCATCACAACAATTACACATTGAAATCATACCAGAATTATTTGGTTGCTTTAAACCCCGTGATGCTGCATCAGACTGAAAAAAAACCCCAACTCCATTACACAGAACACCACCTGACGGCCCTGGCAGAAATTGCATTGAACAACTATAGTGCACACTCAAATTTCCGTCCCTAGGTTTTAGTGGACACATCTGAGGCCCCAAATTTGTTTCATAATCTAACAACTTTCCACCAGATTTGTTCTCTTCACTCACAAAACCACTTGGTTCTTCAGTCCCTAAATCCACAAGTGGGTGACCAAACTTTTGATTCTTAGTAGAAGATGCAAATTCCATTCCACTCTCATTAACACCAAAACCTGAACCACCCCGAGTTCCACTAATTCTACTCGTCTGTTTCGCCAATAACTGCTGTTTCAAAACCATTTTTCTTAAAGAATCATCACCATGCCTTAAAGCATTACCACCATTTCCCACATTCTTCGTCACTTTATTATCAACATGACCCTTATAAAATCGTCCGTATTCAAGCCCATTACTACATACAAAAACCCAAAGCCTAGTGCTCTTACCGTACAACTCCAGATTCTCGTACTCTTCCACCATGCACTTGACATCCTCGTCCGATTCTATCACGATCGACCCCATGTCCAAGTCCACGTCAGCAACAGCTACCTGATACTTTAACCAAAAGGACGGTACTTTCGGGCAAAGATCCGCGATCTTTGCCCGAAGTTTCAAGAACCCAATGTTTCTGTCAACGGATATAATACGACTCTCGCCACCAATATAACGAAGCTTTCCCGAAGGAGGTCTGGGGTGGAATGCGCCATTGAAACTGCAAACAAGCTTGAGTTTCCTTGATGGATTTGCGCAGTTCTTCTGAAGAGGAGAAAGAAAAAGCTCTTTCATGTATACAGGATAATGACAGAGATGGAAACGAAAGAAAAGGGATTAGAATTCAGTCAAGTTCTCGTAGACAGAAAATGTGTTGGTTTTTCCTTAGAGCTTTTTGCTGTGATTTTTTTTTTTTTTTTTATGCTTCGGTCCCAGTGCGTTTGGGAATTTTATAGTTGAGTGTTTGTGGTTTAACCCTTCAGGTTGGGTGAAATTTACGGGTTTGCCACCAATCTCAGGTGTTCTAATGCTGTTAGGATTTGGAGAGATTCTTGGAGAAATTTGTGATTCGGAAATTTCCAAAGAAGTCACTATATTTAAAATTTTTAATGTGGTGGTTTGGAGCCGAACCCTTTTTGTGATTCGGAAATTTGCAATGAAGTCACTATATTTAAAATTTTTCATGGTAGTGGATTGGAACCTAACCTTAAAGGGCGGTTGTTAAGTGAGAAAATAATTTTCTTTTTTTTTTTTAAGGAGAAAATAATTTTTTTATTAGAATATTATTTTTATAATTTAATTTTTTTATTTGGTTTAGGAAAACATAATTAGTAGAGTTTTTTAAAGATTTTTAATGGGAATCAAAAACTTTTCTCTCCCCAAAATTTTTTAACATCTTGGAAGAAAAAGTAATTTTTTTTTCATTTATCCTCACTTAATTATATTTTTAAATTATATAAATAACATTATTTATCTTAAAAATATAATAATTTTTTATAAAATATTATGAAAATATTTTTTAATATATTTTAAATAAAGATAACATTTTTAACATAGAACTATTAAAATCCTTATAAAAATTATGATTAAAATATCATTTTTATTGAAAAGATAAAAAAACTATTTTTTATAATTTAACAAAAAATATATTTAAAAAAAACATGATTTTTGTTAAAATATAAAAAATTTATTTTTTAAAATTTAACAAAATCGACAATTTTAAGATAAAAACGTAATTTTGTTAAAAATAAAACATTTCTAAAATAAAAACATAGTTTTTGTTATAAACATGGAAAAAATTTCAGAATTTAACAAAAATGATGTTTTTAAAATAAAAAATATAGTTTTTATTGAAAAGACAACATTTTTAAATAAAAACTTAATTTTTGTTGAAAAATATATATTTTTTTTAATTTAACAAAAACAACTTTTTTAAAAGAGAAAATGTAATTTTTTGTTGAAAATATTAAAAATTAAAGTTTTAATAATTCAATAAATATAACAATTCTAAAATAAAAACATAGTTTTGATTGAAAATACATAATTTCTAAAATCAAAATATAATATTTGTTGAAAACATGAAAAAAATATATTTTTTAAAATTTAATAAAAATGACATTTTTAATATAAATCTGAAAGTTTTGTTCTCGAAAATTCTCAAGAAAATGGTTTATCACTCCTTTCTAACCCCACATTGACCTTATTACGAAAATCGATCTGTGTGTTTTTTCTGCTTAGTGACAATAACGTTAAAATAATAATTAAAATCGTAAGTTTATATTTGTTGAAAATATAAAAAATTATTTAGTTCCAACAAATATAATATATTATTCACATATCAGTATTATAAATATCACTTATTATTTACGTGTTATCAAGAATAATATAGTAAAAAGTTTTATTAAATAATCTTACATTCATGTGAATTAAATACAAAAATTTTACATTCTCTATTTCAATAAAACCCAATAATCACATATTCTCATTTAATATAATTTTTCCTCCTAAAATTTAAAAATTCACAAATCAAATAATTTTAATATTTTTTATATGATACTACTCTTATGGAAATTTAATAAATAATATCTTAAATTTAACAAGTCTATAACACAAAAAACATTGAAAGCTCTCATTAACAAGCCAAAAGTGATCTTAGTTTATAAAGTAAAATATAAGCTTAGAGTATTTTGAATATTTGATTAAATGATTGATGTGTGTATTATTTTCTTCAAAATGTAAGATTTGAATTAAAAAAAATAAAAATAAAAAACCCCCAAGAGGTAGTGTTAATTCATAAATTAGTCTCATATTATTTTGATCTTTTATAATTTTATGCTGATTTTAATTAAATTATTATATACTAATTAATTTGTATAACTACTATATTCATAAGCATATGAACAAAAATACGACAATAAATGATTTACCTACCTCTCTTTGGAGATGAATTATTGTAAGGCAGAGATTTGACTCATAATACTTGCAAATTTTTCTTTCCTAATTTTTCAATCATTTTAAAAACATTTATTTTTCATTTAAAAAAGGATTCAAATTTCAAAGTTCTTAAAATGTTTAGAGTTTGCATTAGAAAAAAAGATAAAAATTTAAAGTAAAATAACAATTTCAAAATTTTTTTCTTTTACATCAAATCTTAAAATTTTGTTTTGAATCAATTTTCTTTACTAATATAGGCTGTTTTACAAATGAAAATCATCAACACGTTGATTTAAACACAAGGACAGATGTTTCTATTTGTTATGAACTATATATTTTTTATTTGAATTAATATTTGATATATTATTAATATAAAATTTTAATTTCACAAATAATATTAAAAATTTGATACATATTTTATTTTTATTTTTTAATTATATCTTAAAAAATAGATCTCCTTTTTAATTCTACTTATAAAATTTAAAAATTCCACATAAATATATTTAATAACTTTTCTTGTAATATTCTCTTTCGGCCATAAATGGACAAAGTTGGGTACTTACCAACATCAGCTTTGTCATACTAATGCAAAGTTGGGTACTTATCAGCATCAGCTTTATCGTGCTAATATTTTTTGATAGATTAAGTCTATTTAGAGAGTAAGTGAAAACTTAAATATGGGATTTCATCTAAAATTAAAAAATATATATATATATTATTCTTATAAAGTCGTATGATTTATTAATTGAATGATAAATTTTTAATTTTTTTTTAAATTTTGATAATTTTAAATACTAAAATTTTTAATTTTTAAATAATTTGTAATTATTTTTCAATGTTTTGTATAGTGCTGCTTTAATTATAAGCAACTATGAAAGGAATGGTTTTTTAGGTGAAAAAAAGCAATTAACTTTATCGACATAAAACTTTGCATTTGTCCCCAACATGTAATTTTTCTTTTCTTTTTCCCAAAAAATTTAACAATGCTTTGTTAATATAAGATGTGAAATTCCTGTCTGGTACCGAAAGAAGAAAAATTAAAAAAATTTTTTTTTCTACTTTTTGATTTATCACTAAATGCCATATCTTCCGACCAAAAAGAATCTTAAACAAAGCTTGGTTGTTATTAACGGAGAAGATAGTAGGACTTTGAAGCTTGAACCACCAAAGTAACAACAATCAATCAAATTAATAATAATTAATAATATTAATTAAAGAGTTCATTATTATATATAACAATAGTGACTTTTTTACAAATGATAGTGAAATTTTATATTGTCATATGTCTATATTTTAATTTCTTAATATATTTAAAAGATATATATATCATCTTATTAATTTGAAGTTTAAAATTTTTATTTATGCTAAATAAAAAGCATTTCGTCTAATTAAATGGTTTTGTTTTTTTCTTTTAAATGAACTCTAAAGGAAAAGAACTAATTCTTAGCCATTTTATTATATTTATTATTGTATAATCTATTAATAGAATATTAAAATTTTAATTTAGATAAACAGGATTCAATATCTGAAAACTTCAAATGTAAAATACACAAAAATTTGCAATGTTCTTCTTTCCTAAACATAACACAAAAAATTCACTTAAAACATAACAATGACTATTTTTTTTTCTTTTTTATTCAAAATTAATGCCTGTCTAAATTTGAACTAACCACCTTTAAAAGATCAAACAACTTTTTTTTTTTTTAATAATGAAAAAGAAGACCTAAAAAGTTTGATTAATGCAAGAAAGAGATCAGACATATATTCGGATTCGGGTAACATGAATTATTCCTTAATTCTTCTACAAGAAATAAGAATACTCCGTCTGTTCATTGGGATGCGCACGTTAACACTGACATGTTATATCATGGCGCAAGATAGCATCTCAACCTTAATAATATCCTAAACTTCACCAACAAGTTTGTCATATTTGGAAATTCCCGATTTTGACCTCTCCCGGTTTACGTGGACCACTTTGGTTTCACCCGGAAACAACAAAATGGAATAACATTTTTTTGGCCTTTCGGTTACTAAGGTTGACTTGACACTTGGCAGGCACCTGATCTTCCAGGATTGGGTGTGAACAGCTACGTAGGACCCACCTAAAGAACCATAGGTTGGCACCACGTAAGCATTGAAGTGGAATTATCGTAATTAAAAGTGTAAACGAGTCGAATCGAGTCAAATAGTGAGAAGCTCGAGCTCGAGCTCGACTCACAATTCGGGGCTCGATATTCGGTTCGAGTTCGATCGAGTTTTATTTTTCAAGTTCGAGCTCGATTCGTGATCGAATTCGAGCTACTCGAACTCACTCGATTAAATTCGATTAATATGTAAAAATAAGCTTGATTCGTATATTCGACAAGAGTTCGATTATTCATACTCAAATTCGAACTCGAACTCGGACTCGAAATATTTTATTAATTAAAATAATAAAAATATATTTAAATATAAAAATTCAATTAAGCTCGTGAGCTACTCGAATCAAATATAAAAATACTCGAATTCGACTCGATCGATAAGTCGAGCTATTCGAGCTCGAGCTCGACTCGATAATAATCTAACCAAATTCGAATTTTTTTCGAATCGAACCCGAATAGCTTACTGGTACTAATGTATTATTTACACCTCTAATCGCAGTAGGTCGATATTGTATGATGCGAAAAAATTAAAAATTTTAAAATATGCTGTTTAAAATTTTTAAAAATTTATATAAATTTAATAAAAATTAAAAAATATATTAATATTTAATACAAATTATAATTTTTATATTATATATTTATTTGATATAAAATAAATACGAGACATATATATTATACGTGAAAGACCAAATTTACGTCACAGTATTTCTACAAATATTATCTCTACAGGTTTTGAATTGAGTTAGGTTTCAAGACCTTCATATATCTTATTCTATACCAAAAATGATGGTATAATCGAAGCTCTAATAAGTATTTTATATAAATACGGAATATCAAATCCGATTTTCTTTTTTTTTTTTGAAAAATACAAGATATCTAAATCATCCAAGTTAAAAAAATTTATTCATTGATAACAAAAAAAGGA